GGGGGGGGGGGGGGGCAAACCCAACGAGAGAACTTTCGAACAACAAACCACAAACTCAAACAACTTGACAACTTTATTGCCGCAAATATGGCCCGACCTAGCTACTGTTGACAAAATTAGGTAACACAACTTAAGAAGTAATTCGATGACTAAACGTCAGGAAACATGGGGAAAAAACTAAAGGCAATCAACGCAGATAAAAAACAAGGCAGAAAAACAATCAAGAAAAACAAACAAGGCACGTCCATTAACGCCTGGTTTTCGAGGTGGACGAGGGCACGGAGGGAGGAGAAGCCGATCTACGTTTGCGATCGTGTGACAACGTTTTGTCAAAACGACGGGAGCATTCTGACGCACGGTGGGAACCTGCACAGGTGCTGCAGCGTAGGGCAAACCGACACGAAGCAAATTGTGCCGAACAGCGGCCCCTGTTCCAAGACCGGCAAATGACCTGGGAGGAGTCAGCTCCAGATGGTTCGGGTAGCTCGCTCAAGGAACCACCAGACCCAGAACGCACAGAGGCCCCAGCAGTGTGAAAATTGTAAAGCTGAACGTTCATGGTCGACCAGTCCACGAGCTTTGTCGCCGCAGCGTGCTGGCGGAAGGCCTGATCGTAGGCCAGCCAAACACGACCACTGAACTGGCGGTACGTGCGCAGGATGAGAGGCTTGTAAGAAGTTAAATCTTTCCAGCGGTGCGGAAAATAAGACGTCAAAATCAGCGTAAAAATTGTAAAGGCTTCGGACCAGGTCACGATATCCTCAATGCGTCGACGTTGCTTTTTAGCGCTTGGCAAAAACACTAACCGGCCGTCCAGGAATGCTTGCGATTCCGGCTCAGTCTGAACAATGTTGACTGACAGCAAATCTCCCAAATCCACGTACTTGCCGGCAACAATTTGGCTAACCGTTTTCGCCGGAATTGGTGAAAAACCGGGGCCAACTACAAACGGCTGTTGGAGTGGCGGTCCCGATGGCAGGTTTGCAGCCAAGGTGCTGTCGCTGAGTGGCACCGGGACAGAAGCGCCCGCCGTGATCGACGTGCTTAAAATCGGCGACCGCGGGGTTGCAAAAGTGGCAACAAAAGATGGCACCGTAAAATTAGGCCTACCTTGCGTGGCTGAAGGTGAAGATATCGCCTGTTGCTCCGGAAAGGCGCCTCCAGAAGCTAGAAAGGTCGCCGTTTGCTGCGACAAACTGGGCGATGGGGCGGGAACGCCCCCAAAAGCTGCTTGTGGCTCCACGCTATCAGAATTTCCACGCAGATTGCTCGAGCTAGAACCAGGACCTTTTTCTGCCGCTAACGAGGCTTTCACGGCATCGACGATTGCAGCGATTAGAGCGGGATCGTGGATACCAGCAGCAACAACTAGAGCGGAAACTGTCGAAGATGTTTGTGGCGCCGTGTTTGCCACAGAAGCGAGCGACGAAGGACCAGACGACTCGGCGTGCAAAAGGGTATCCGATGACGAGTTCTCCCCATCCAAATGAGCAGCCAAACTATTGTTGGTTCGACGAGCAGTCATTGTACAAGCAGAAAAACAGCAAGCAAGCAAAACCAAAGCACAAACTGGCACGCAAACAGCAAGCAATTGAAACAACACTTTGCGAAGAACTGCAAGCAAGCAACTGCGTATATAAGTCACGAGGTGCCCCTGCTA